AGGCAGTAGTTACATTAACTGTCTGTCCTGGTCCCATGTGACCACGGATCCCTTCTGGGTGCTGGGTTATGGCACCAGCTCCTCTAAGAGAATCTGTGACTCTACAGATTTGGACAAGCCTGGCCTCAGCCTCCCATCGGGATGAGGAGACCTTACAGGAGTCCTCTGCAACTTCTACTCAAAGTGATTCGGCCTGATTTCCCAGGGAGGGGCCTATAGGTCTGTCCTTCCTGGTATGCATGCACTCACCCTTGGAGGACCTGGAATTGAAGCTCATTCCACAACCATATCTTCTGGCCTGGGGAGGACACAGTGCTGTGTGAGCTAAAGTAGCCTAGTGGGGCTCACCCCAGTTGAAACCAGAAGCCATTGTGGGGTCAGGGAAGGGGGAAGTGGTTGGCCTTGTTGAGAATGGAAAAAGGACCCAGTAAGTAATTTATTGGGGTGACAGTGGTTAGCAAAATTACATAGGTTTGAAGTGTGCAATTCTGTAATACATCATCTATATATCACATTGTGTGTTCACCACCCAGAGTCAGTTCTGCTTCCATCACCATACATTTAACCCCCTTTCACCTCTTCTACTATCCCCTCTTCCCCCTTCCCCTCTGGTAACCACTAAACTGTTGTCTGTGTCTATAAGTTTTTGTTTCTTTATTTGTTTGTCTTGTTCCTTTGTTGCTTTCAGTTTTATATCCCACATATCAGTGAAGTCATATAGTTCCTGACTTTTTCTGTCTGACTTATTTCGCTTAGCATAACAATCTCAAGAACCACCCATTTTGTTACAAATGGCACTATTTCATCTTTTCTTATGGCAGGATAGTATTCCACTGTGTATATGTACCACATCTTTTTTATCCAATCATCTATCAAAGGACACTGTGGTTGTTTTTTTTGTCCACTGTAAATAAAGCTGCAATGAATATCGGAGCACATAAATCTTTAAAGATAAATGTTTTCAGATTTTTTGGGCATATATCCAGGAGAGGGATTGCTGGGTCATATGATAATTCTATTCTTAATTTTTTGAGGAACCTCCATACCACCTTCCATAGTGGCTGCACCAATCTGCGTTCCTACCAACAGTGTATGAGGATTCCTTTTTCTCCACAGCCTCTCCAACACTTGTTATTATTTGTCTTGTTGATGATAGTCATTCTAACTGGTGTGAAGTGATATCTCATTGTGGTTTTGATTTGCATTTCTCTGATGTTTAGTGATGCTGAGCATCTTTTCATATGTGTATCGGCCATCTGTATGTCTTCTTTGGAGAAAAGACTATTCAGGTCCTCTGCCTATTTTTTAATTGGATTGTTTGTCTCTTTGTGTATAGTTGTTTGAGTTCCTTACATATTTTGGATATTAGCCCCTTATTGGAAGTGTTCTTTGCAAATATCATCTCTTGTTTGGTTGGTTGCCTCTGTTTTGTTGATGGTTTCTTTCGCAGTGCAGAAGCTTTTTGGTTTGATATAGTCCCATTCCTTTATTTTAGCTTTTACTTCCCAGAACAAGCATTCTTGTATTGTCACAGGAAGGCATTCCAGGATGTACAACTAAGCCACACAAACCAAGCCAAGCAAGCAGAGGGTTGATTAAAAGAAAGGAAATAGTATAGTACACTCTCAAGATGGCATGAGAGTGTGCAGGCCCCGAAGGACAAAGAAACTTAGGATTAAATTTGAATAAGGGTGCAAGATATTTAGGGGTGGCGTTACAGGTGTTCCCAGAGTGGGTCTTTGCTGACAACGCCTTCCTGTTGGGAGAAGGGATTTTTGTCCTTACTTGGCTCTTGTTGGAACTGTCATGGCGACACAGGGGGTGGAGATTTTTCTTGGCTACCATGCTAATAATATTATAATTCCATTGTAATTAGTTAAGGTTCACCTTGAGGGGCAAGGCGGTCTTCTGGGACTGCTCTTGGCCACCGGAATCCAGTTCTGGCCAGTCTGGTAGCTGCACCATTTCCTAAGGATGACCCCATCTCCTCGTCCCATTGTTTCCCCTCACCCCCTCATTTTATTCCGCCCCACTCTCACCCTGCGGTCCTGTTCTTTCTGCCTACAGTAACAGAACTTAGCTTACTATATCATGTTTTTTGTTTTTTTAAAAATTTATTTGTCAGTCTTCCCTACTAGAGGGCATGTTCTTTGAAGCCAGAGTTTGTATCTTCTTTATTTTAGTATTGTAGTATCTAGTACCATGCCTGGTATGCAGTAGTTATGTTTATAGAATTAATACATGAATGGATGAATGAAGTTCTTTCATCTGGCTAGGCAATGATTCCTATTAGAAAGTGTCTATAATTCAGAAAGGAAATCAGGGGGTGAAATTTGGGATAGAACTTATTTCCTTTCTTCAGAACAGGCAGAGCCTGCCCATCTGGTAGAAGTGTGGTGGTGGATTTCACACTGCTTATTCATTTCTCCATCCAACACCCATTCACCTTCTCATGCCCTCCACTCAGCCAGCTCTTTTAAGAGTCACGTTCTTGGAAAGTGACTCAGGGCTAGTCCAGAGAGTATGAGGCTAGCTGGGGGGAAATGCCCAGAGGCCCAGGGGTCTTTCTTTTTGCCCTTTTGTGCAATTTCAGCTGATGGACCAGGGCCCTGAGCTCCCTGCTGGGCAGGGTCTGAGGTGTCTGCCCTGACACCTCCTGCTCATCATTAGTCCCAGAATATGGGCCATGGCAGGGGTGATGAAGATAGCAGTGGAGGAGTGGGGTGGGCTGGGGGCTTGCCGAGCTCTTGCTGATATTTGCACGATTGAAAAACACATTTTCCGCTCTTCTTGAACAGGTTTGTAGAAATCAATTCCAGCTTTATTTTGAGCTGAAGGAGATAGCCTGACTCTGAAAGAGACTTTATAAAATTCTAGTCCACAGTTCACACAAGAAAACTCCAGTGAGCAAGTTCATAAATGGCTCACTTGGGGGCGATATCAAAGACCCGTGCAGAGTCTGGGCTGTCCTCTCCCATTCACGTGAATGAGAACCCCCACAACCTGACCACCGTGCGCCTCTTTTCGAGCTGATTCCAGCAGTCCCATTTCGTGGCTTAATGGCCATTATCTTTCATTAAAGCCCAGAACTTCTGGAAAGCGATAAAAAAGAACTTATTTGCTATTCTTGCCATGTTGACAAAAATGTATCTAGACCCTGATTCTTAAAGGTTGTGCAAAGAAGGCCATTCTTCCACTTAGCTCCATTGTCCCCTGGATTCTAAGTCTGTCTTGGAAAGGTGCTCCAGGGTAAAATTTGGCAGATGAGATTTCTGCTGCCAGGCACTGAATACTGTCAAACTTAAAGGACAAAAAATAAAATTGCCTCGCCCTGCTTTTCACTGTCATGTAAAAATAGTTTTATGTTCTGTTTATTTGCTGGAGCCACTCAACCCCTAGCTTGGTCTTGAGAACCCTGACAGGCTTCCAGAGGCCCCATGAGGCAATTGCCATGGTCATAACCTTGATGCAAATGGGTCGTTGGATATAGGAATGGACAATTGTGTTTGGGGGAACCTTTAAAAGATCACTCATATGTCTTAGATTCTCAGGAAAGATCACTCATGTGTCTTAGATTCTGGAGTATAGAGAGTGGGCCGGATTAGAAAAAGACAAGCATTTTACTTTTCCTGGAGGAGCTAGTCCAGGGGACCAAGGAGGCCTCCAGACAGCCTCTGTTTTCGCCCACTAACCACAGCCCACAAAACTTAGCCCCTTTATTTTACCAGGCAAACATACCCTGCCTTTAGGCGAGTAGAGTATTTTAATTTCTACTTTGCTGATGAGATCATTGAAACCCAGACAACTTAAATAACTTGTGATCACAAAGCAAGCTGAAGGTGGAGAGAGGACTTGTATCCAGGTTTCTTTACTGGGCTCTGGATACTAAGTTCAGTCCTAGGCTCTTGGAGTTTCTTGTTTTAGGGGACCTGTTGCCAACTGCCCTTTTCCCATCCCAAGCAGACTAAAATCTGCCGTTGCTTTTTTCCCATCTACCCAGGGATTAAATTCATTTCCTATTCTCCTGACTTTGAAGAATATAATACACGGAATGGCCATTTGACTAGCTTGTCCATTAAAACCTGGAACCAGCTAGAGCAGACGTCGTGAGGGTTGGGAACAGCCTGAGCCCGGTTACAATGTCAGAGAAACATCTCTATTGCCTCGTAGTACCTGGCAAAAGATCCTTAGGTCAGAGTGGATAGCGCTGGGTTCTAGACTCTTTCCAGTTGTCTAGGCACACCTGCCCTACCTATTTTACAAAGCTATGATTAAGATAAAGTGAAAGCGCAGGGGAAAAGTAAACGGCTACCCAAATTTGAGTGTGTCTACATGCTTTTCTGAGCAGTGAGTCTGGATTATGAGGAATGCGGAGTGACTCATGGGAGCTCAGGAGGACAATGTGGGTGTCTGCTTCTGAAGGGTGTGACTTGTGGTGTGCATGTCCATATGCCTTCAGGACGCGGTTGAATGTGTCTTTTTCTCTTTTCCACGTGCTCCAGGCTGGGGGAAGTTTGCTCGGCTGACCAGAGCACTGACAAGCAGCAGGGGTGTCCTGCAGCAGCTGGCTCCCAGCGTGCAAAAAGGCGAGAATGTCCACAAGCACTCGCGCCTGGCCGAGGTAAGGGCGATGGGTCAGCTCATTTGACACCTCACTTCTGTGGGGTCCATGGGCTGAGAAAATGGTACAAAGTGAGTGTGTTGGTTTAGAGGGGGACATTCAGGATCCCCAGACTCTTGTCCTGGCTGGGCTACACAGCACCATGTGTGACTTTGGGTAAGTAACCTAACTCCTTTCAGCTTTGTACCTTCCCATATGTGAAAGAGACTGCAAACGGCTCCATTCCATCCTGCTCGAGATTACAGGTGTCAATTCACTTTTTTTGAAGGCGTGGGGAAGGAACAGAAGTGTTATGCATATGAAGGGGGCTTTACTGATAAACCATACACACTTTTGTTTTTGAGCCATACATACTATTATAGGAAAAGAATATACAGGAAGCAAAAAGAAGTAAATACAAATCACCTACCATCCCACTAACCAGGGTGTTGATTCTCTCTTTTGCTAGGACAAGGGAAAGACTGGGAAGCCAGGACAAGGTGTTGGCCAAGCGTAATGCACCAAAGTTACTATTATCTGTCTTTGGTGGTGCCTGGTCTTCCTTTTATCAAGTAGATCTGGGTGGTATCAATTTAGAGACTTATACCTTCCACATGGCAAACTTCCATCTTACCCAAAGATGACAACATGAGCTGTCTCCCCGCCTGGTGGTGCCCAGTCAGTTCGTGATCCATGCTTGAATGACAGGGCCCTCCTGACCCGACTCCTGGCTCCCGTACTGCTAAGAGGGAAACTCCCAGCATGGTGTAGCTGACAGTAGGTGCTCTGCGTATGTGCACCAAATGTCGAAGGAGTTAACTACAGAGGATGTCCTTTTAGCAGCCAAAAGCTTTCGCCAGCAGTGGAAATGGGAGTGTTCATTTGTGTCATGTTAAAGGAGAGACATTTGTATGGTGGCAGCATTGTTTTTGGTCATGATGTGGGCTTAGCTTATGATAGAAAGAATAATACAAGAGGCCTTTCAGCTCACAGCCTGCATGTTGTCGGTCCCTGTTTCTTCTTTTGGTTAATAAAGTAACCTCCTCTCCTGCTGCTCTCCACCTTGCTCACTCTTATCCAGCCACACTCTTTGCTGTTCCTTGTACACACCTGGCTTGCTCTTCCCACAGATACCTGTGTGGCAACTCCTTTACCAGCTGCAAGCTTTGCTCAAATGTCATTTTCTCTATGTGGTTACCTCTATGTGGTTATCAGTCAGGGTTCCACCATAAAAATAGAACCAGTAGGATATTTATATATTAAGACATGTGTTGCCAGGAATTGGCTTACATGATTGTGGGGTGCTCACTAGGCAGTCCCAATTCATTGGGCAGGTTGGCAGACTGGACATTCTTGGGAGGAGCTGATGTTGAAGTCCACAGATGGAATTTCTTCTTCCTCAGAGAAACCTTAAAAGGCCTTCTTTTAAGGCCTTTCAACTGATTATATAAGTCCCGCCCAGATTATAGAGTCTAACCTCCTTTCCTAAAAGTCAGATGATTGTAGATGTTAACTGCATCTACAAAATACCTTCACAGGAATGCGTAGATTAGTGTTTGATTGAATTAACTTGGTACCATGGCCTAGACAAGCTGACACATAAAACTAATTATTACAGTTCACCCTTGTCAATTTGGCAGTCATACATGTTTCCTTAAAACATACTAGATCCCCAAATAAAGACCATAGCGAAATCATACTTCTGCCTAACATGCATGTAACCAAAACTGTGCCAACTCTTTCCCCAAGAGGATGCAAAGTCCTTGGGTGATGTTCACTCTTCTCCTTGGTAACCTGTAACTTACATACTGAGATGTAAACTTAACTATAATTGATACATCTTATGGTAGATGACAAAGGGATGAGAGGGAAGAATATAAAAGTATTTGCTTAACATATATACATATTAGTTACGTATATACCAGGGGTGCCAAAAAAGTGTATATACGTGGACACTTTGGTCAATGTTGCTCAAGCAGTAGTTAGTTCTCTGTAGTCAAGTGTCTGGACGCTGATGGTAACCACTTGGAGCACCTCTTATAATTGCAGAAGTCAAACATGACTTGTATTCATCTTTTGTTATTGGTATATATATTGAATATTACAATTTTAATACAGTCTTTTCCTTTCTTAAAACATACATATATATTTTTGGCACCCTTTGTGTAAACATTCATAACAAATTAAAATTCTCATAACTCATAACCTGCTCTATATTTTTCTCCACTTAATACCTTCTAATGTACTATATTGTTTACTTATTTATTGTGTTTGTTTTTCACTGATATGTCCTAAGCACTTAAAACAGTGTCTGGCATACGGTAAGTGCTCATCAGTAGTAGTTTTTTGTTTTTTGTTTTTTAATTTATTGAATGGATGAAAGAAAGGAAATGATGTTAGTGTTTTTGTTTACCTGTCTGACATAAGTAAGCGATCTTGATTGGCAATATGTGGCAAACATCTGGGACCCATCCTGGGAACTAGTAAGCTTTAGTTGGCCTGGCTAAAGGCTTATCAATTTTATTGATCTTTCCAAAG